CATTCATATCCCCAAATTTTGTTTCTTGCTTATTTTACCATTTGTGACTCTTTCTTGTGAAACTCCTATCGATGTTGAAACATTATATTCAATAGTAACCTGCCCAGTCTTCTCATTTTTCTCTAAGTATGCTATGGTTTCTTTTTCATGAAAGACCATATTTTTGCTTCTGATTATCTTTCTATTTACTAAATCTCATACTATGTAGCTAAATTCCTCATCACTATATCCTACAAACACATTATATGACTTTATTGTCGAGCTTTGACCTATGTTCTTTTGACACATACATGAATGCTTTACACCTAAAAACTTTTAAGAGAAAATATAAAGCATCTTTTCCTGTCCACACTCTTTTTGAAATGTCAAAGCCTAAAAGAACTGATGATGATCTATTAAGTAAATAATAAGCTGTGTTGAATGCTTCACCCCAGATTGGCTTTGGTAATTTTTTCATCCTCAACATGCATCTGACTTTTTTTATAATGATACATTTATCCTTTTAACTACACTATTATGCTTCGATGTTTCAGGTTCTATCATCTTATGTCTGATCTCATGCCTTGAATAGTATTTTTCAAAGTCTTTGGATATGTATTCCTCATCATTATCAGTCTAAATACACTTCAAAGGCAACTCTGTCATCTTTTTCACCATTACATAAAATTTTTAAAAATACTATAATACCTAACTTTTATTTTTTAACATATACATCCAAGTATTACTTGAAGCATCATTAATAAAAGTAACAAAATACTTGCTATCACCTAATGACTCAACCGCAATGGGACCATGAGGTCAGAATAAATCAATTTTAATATATTTTTTTTCTCTGAAAAATCTTTCTGAAAAAAAACTTTACAATGCCTACCAAACAAATAATGATCACATGAATAGAGAGATATAGCTTTGGTTAAGGGAATGAAAGACTGCTTTGTCAAAACCTATAACCTCATTTAACTTATGTGTGCTACTTTCTTGTGCCATAAGTTTATTGAATCATTATCTTCAATGGTATTTATCTGGTTGCCATTCAATTACATCCATGTCATGTACATTATGCAACATAATTTTTTTCTTGTAACTACCATAGATCCTTTGAGAAGCTTTCATTGTTCATTCTTTTGTCAACTCTCATATCTTTTCTTATCAAAGACATTAATAGCAATCAAGTTCATTTTCAGTAAACTTGTGGTACAAGTTTACTGACATTCCTCAAAGTTAATATGCAACTTATACTAATTTGTATAATAATATCACCAATCCCAATAATCTGTGACACACTCTTATTTTTCATCTTAGTGCAACCAAAGTTTTTTACTTTTTAAATTGTAAACAACTCTCTTCGAAACACAATGATTTGTCACTCTTGTGTCAACTATCCACTCAATGCTGAGATCACCAACATAATTATAATCACCATGTGTATAAATTAAAGTAACCGAATCACTATTTGAATTCACCGTTACAATATTGCCATCATTTGAACTCTTATCTTTCTCATATTTTCACTTTTGCTTCAAGATTTTATAGTATCGTTTTATATGACCTACTTTACCATAATAAAAACACTTCACTTTATCTCTGGACTTAAATCTATGTTTAAACTTACTATAACCTTTTGAGTTCTGACCTCTGACGATGTTTTCACTCTTTTTCTTTGTGATTAGAACTTGATGTTCAGGGTCTAAATCTTTTTGCCTTACTTTTTCATTAAGCATATTGTCATTTACCATCTCTAATGTCACTTTGTAATCAGAAGTTAAATTAAGAATAGTCATAACTAGAATATTCCAGCTGTCTAGTAATGAACCCAAAAGAAACATCTTTATTTCATCATCTGTCTTAAGCTCCATAGTAGTCATATGATTAAATATATATTAAAAATCACTCAAATGCTCTGTAATCAATTGTCCATCCCTGTACTATAAAGTTGTAAGCTTTTTAATAAGTATAACTTTATTCATACTTATTTTTTTCTCATACAATATTATTAATTTTTTTCAAATAATGTGAACATCTGTCTATTGCGCTACATGATAAAACACGTTGATATCAACCTATTTTTTAATTGTAGCTAGCATATTTCTACCTAACTTCTTTTAACTTTCATCTTTCATATATGTTGGTTTAGTCGAATTGTCCAATATCGACTCATATAAATCTTTACAGTATAAATGATCTTTCATTATAGGCTTTCAAATTGAATAATTTGATGGTGTCAATTTTATCATGACACATGTATTACCTTTCATAATCTCACAGAATTTATTTTTGTCTTAGACTTTATCCATATTGATGTATCAAAATAACTCTTACTTTGATACCCTTGTTGGGCCTAAAGCAATAAACACAATAACGTCGAAGTAATATATCGTAAATAAACCACTAGTAATAAACAACAAATAGAGCTAATTAGCAACTAGAGCAATAATTGAAAAAATCTTACTAAATAGATAACTCAATAAATATACCATGAATTTGTTCATAGAGAGCTTCAAACATGATCTTCACTGTTTAAAATGTATAACTACGAATCATAAACTTGCTAATAAAATTTTAGCTTAATCGGATCACGAATCGACTTTCATTTAACCAACTCTCCTTTTTTTTTTCTCTATTTTTTTGGATTCTTTTCTTTTCTTTTCTTGGTTTGTGGTGCCACATTGTTTTTCACCTTAAAACAGTCTTTACCTCTTTTTATTAAGTAGTTAAGGCTCTATGTAAAAAGAAAAATCAAGGCCTATGACCTTTGATTAGTCCAAAACCAATTACACGGGCTGAACTCCACTTTTCTAACATTTTTTACATAGTTTTATATGCATTGAACATGGATAATTCTCTAAAAGAGACTTATCTAAAGCCGGTGGGGTCTTCTTTGGATGTTGTGTTGTGTGTGTGTCAAATTGTGATTACATGGCTTTCAAGTTGCATTATACCATCACTCTGTTTCTGTTTTCCTTTTATTACTATTGTAAATGGAGAACAAATTGCATGAATGGAACAAGTCCCTAATGTAATGTTTCTTTCTACTGTTTCAGTAAACTTTTCATGTAAAGACGCATATAGTTTTTAAAATTTTTTTAAAGGCACAGCTCAGTATAATATACAAGCTTGGACGATTCAGCAAGATACATCTTCTTGCTATTTCAAGTTAGATTTTTGAAATGCTAAACATATAATCAAGACCAATAAAATTTATAAAACCTCGAGAATCTTAACCTCTCAAATCCATAAAAAGAATATGGTATCTGAATTTCTTTTGATCTTTAATGTGGAAATATAGTGTTTAACATTCCAAATTTCGTTCCTAATCCCACATTAGAATAATGTGTAGATATGATATGATATATATGTAAAGATCTAAACCTAAACCTATGAGTCACCTTTTATGAGACAATCGTGAGAGTTTCAAGTTAAAACGGATAATACTTTACAAATTGAGCACGGATCTCTACAAATGATATTAGAGTGATCACTAATCGACAGAAACTAAGTGCTATGTCGTAAGATTCACCAAGTGCTACACGGTGAAGAGCCACTTTTAGATTAAAAAAAAATGTATGGGTATGATCTTGGCCCTTTAATCCCACATTAGAAGAATGTGTCAAGCTTTCAAGGAGAATGTGTGGATATGATATTGGTCCTATAGTTGGATTCAACTTGACAGAAAGATCACGCTTTAAAGGAGGGACGTCAAGTTTTAAAGGTGAAAAAATTGTAACGCCTTCAATCCCACATTAAAAGAATGTATGGATATGATCTTGGTCTTGTGGTTAGACTTGACTTAACAAGGACATCAAGCTTTAAAGGTAGGAAACTAAGTGTTATACGATGGAAAGTCACCTCTAAAATCTCAATATCTAATGTAATATTGATCTTATGATTATACTCAATTTTAAAATTTTAATATTTAGTATGATCTTAGTTCTATAGTTGAACTCAACTTAGTAGGAACATCGACTTAATAAAAATGTCAACCTTTAAAGGTGAAGAAATTGTAATACCCTTTATCTCACATTAGAAGAATGTGTGGATATGATCTTGATTTCGTGGTTGATTCGGCTTGACAAGAATGCCAAGCTTTAAAAATGAAAAATTAAGTTCTACATCATGGGAGTTACTAACAATTACATGATGGGAAGCCACCTATATAATTCCAACGTCTAGTGTGATTTTGGTCCTGTAGTTAAACTCGATTTGATAAAGAGGTCAAGCTTTAAAAGTAGGTAAGCCACTTTTAAAATTTCAACGTCTGATGTGATTTTAATCATGTGATTAGACTTGACTTGATAGAGAGGTCAAGTTTTAAAGATGGAAAGATTGTGACGTCCTTCATCCCACATTACAAAAATGTGGATATGATCTTGATCCTATGGTTGAAGTCAACTTGACAGGGACGCCAGGTTTTAAAGTTGAGAAAATTGTAATACTCTCAACCCCACATTAAAAGAACGTATAGATATAATATAATATATATATATATATATCTAAACCTAAATATGTGAGATCCTAATTATGAAATAAAATTGTAAGATTTTTAAATTAAAGCATAAAATACCTCATAAGTTAGATGCAAATCTTCACACAAAGAGATCTAAAAAAAATAAAACTACTTTACCCCCTGGATAAAAAAGAGTTCAGTTCAATGGTCTAGCATGAGTGAGAGTCGGGGTTAAACTCATCTAAAGTGGAACTATTTACATGGAAAATATCAAGACACGAATAGAATTCGAGTTTTCAAGCAGCTGGCATTGAGGTTGAAAGGACTACATAGGACAAATATTGGAGTATATCTTGGATTTTGCTCACTGTAGTGGTCTGATCACCACGGAGATGTTCAGAGAAGGAATTATCTTTCTCCTGAATTGATGCCTGTGGAAGTGCTGCATGTGAATCTACAGTAGCACTCTTAATGGCCACTAGATAAGCTTCAACTACATCAGATATGCCTAAAGAACACATTTAACAATAATCACCCTCAGCTAACCGTGCTCACATGTAAAATGTAAACATAAAACTGATCAAAGAAGAGAACAAAGGTATATGCTGCAAAAAAAAAAAAGAGTGTTAAGAAAGGAGTACAAGGAAACTAACCTCGGAATTTATCTATGGAAGCCTAATCTTGGGGAGATAAGAAAGATTCTTTTTATCTGATATCATGGTTTCATAGCGTATAAATTACAACAAGCAGAATCCAGGTGATTTACTAGCAGATGTGCATACATCAGTCAGATATCTTAAAATTATGAATTTGAATGTTTTCAACCTCAAGCTTCTTATAATCACTGCGGTTTCTAGCAACAAAAAACTTTCCAAAGTTGTATTCTTTATACTTTGCTGGATTTTGCTCATTCACTAGCTCCTCCAGTGGCTTCACCATAACATAGTGAGAAGGGAAAAAGAAGACAGGCACTGAAAACCTTTCCCTTTCGGAGTTCACCACCACCCTGTGCTCCACACTCTCATAAAATTCATTACTCCAGACCTGCAAAAAATCAGGTGTTTGTCAGCTATAATGATACAAATTTTACCCTGATGGCCATACCATCTATCCATCTTTTGATAGGTCTAGGTTCAATTGTTCTAATCCAATTAACCTCTTAAATTCAACTATTCAAATCGAAAAGAATATTAAACATATAGTAAGATGAATGGTTGCATGAACTTAACTAAATTAGCCAAAATTAAGTCATAGTACCTGAACAGTATCACCAACATTGATGATCAAGGCATTTGGGATTGGTTTAACTGGAATCCAATCTCCATCTGATTTTCTCTTTACTTGTAGTCCTCCAACATCATCCTGGGCAAGGATAGTTATGGCACTAGCATCCTTGTGTCGACCAACCCCCAGTGCTAGGTCAGGGCAAGTGCAAGGAGGATAGTAATTAAGCCTTAACATGGTAATATGGTCTTTGAAGCAGCCAGTCAACTGGTTAGCCGGCAATCCTAAGCTTAAGGAGATGAGTTCCAACAGCTTGTAACCGAGTTTTTCCACCTCTCGAGCATACTCCTGGCATACATTCCTAGCCAACATTAACAAACCAAGCGCCAGATTAACACTATTGATTAGAAAAGCAGGTTCATATTCAGACAAAGTATGGTGATTTTGATACCCCCACAGCTTTGACTTGACAAATTACCAAATCAATTGCTAAAGAATTTAATAATAAACATTGTCATCTTGAACCAACAATCAATACATCAGGGATTCAACAACCTGAGAAAATATATGGACTCTTAAAACCAAAGAATTAAGGGAACTATAGGCATATCATATTGTGAAGAATTCGTGTTAAGGCATGTAATTTTCTACAAATTTGCACCATTTTCTTCCCCCTTGTTACTTCGAGGTTTTCTGACGGTGTCTCAAATTTCTAATCTGAACTCATTCTTACAGGCAGCTATTATCTGCAAACTGTCTAGTTCTCCCATTGAACAGTCATAGGTTTATCAAAACTGAAATGATTGGACCAATTCTTTCATTTCTAGACATGACCACCAAAAAAACCTAAAGGTAAGGTTTATTACCTGAACTCGGGAGGGTTCTCAGGCCACTGGTTAGTCAGCGTCCTTATTTCTTTATCCTCTGGCTCAGGCGAAGCAGCGACAAAACTTGGATCTTTTAACAAGAAATCAAAGACCTCCTTCCAGTCTCTGACATTCTTTGTGTGCTCGCTATCATGGTAGCCCATAGCATTCACTTCATCTCGTTTAACTTTCCGCTTTTCCTCCATGGTCTGATCAAAGAATGTTTTTGCTGCTTTCTTAATCCTTGCGCACAATTCCAAAGGCACCCCATGATTGATCACTTGAAAAAATCCCCACCTTTGGCACGCGTTTCCAATCTCTGAAACAAGTTCTTTGATATCTCTGGTGTCAGATATAGACAGGTCAATAAGTGGGATTCCCTCGACTTCGGTAGTATCGAGTTTAGGCCTGTGCCCGGTGGCTTGGATGAAAGCTGAATCAACCTCTCCCATGGTTCTTTTGACGGTGTGGTACCTGGTAGCTAGATGATGGTAAAATACTGCGAGACAAAAAGCTAGTGGGTATCCTCTCTTATTCTTATCATATGATGATAGTTTTTTTCGTTTTTTGTTTTTTCTTACATAGTTTTATGTACATTGAACATGGACGGTTTTCTGAAGGAGACAAATCTTAAGGCAGTGAGGTCTCCTCTGGTTGTTGTTCTATATTTGTCAAATTGTGATTGCATGGCTTCCAGGTTGCATTATACGCTTTTGCTCAATATAATTGTTACGGCCGAAACTCAACGTTCGCGCGTAGCTTCAGATTCGAGCATGAATTAATTTTATATTTTAAATTAATTTAACTATCATAATTTATATTATTTTAAGATATTATCTGCTTCTACCTCCCTTTCATCTCAATAGCCTGCACGCCTCTAAACTTCAAACATGAATTTTTTTGATATCTCAGATTAATTTAAGTGTTACAATTCATATTTTTAAAAAATATTAAATTTCTTGACCTCACAATTTTTCTTATAAAAAATATAAAAAAATGATATAAATCTTTATATCTCATTATCAATTCTAATACATAATCTATGTAAAATTTATAGCTCTTCTCCAGATCGTGACATAATGTACAAGCTTGGACGTCTCATCAAAATACATCTTCCTGCTATTTTAAGTTAGATTTTCAGAATGCTAAACATAGAATCAAGACCAAGAGTATTTGTGAAACCTTAAGAATCTAAACCTCTCAAATCCGTAAAAAGAACAAGGTATTTGAATTTCTTTTGATCCTTAATGTGGAAATTCAACATTCCAAATCAGCATTAAGTTTGGCACAAAGAAATCTACAAAAAAAAAAAAAAAGAATTGCTTTACCCCTTGGTTAAAAAATAGTCCAGTTCAATGTTGTAGCATAAGTAAGACTGGGGATTAAAGTCATCTAAAGTGCAACTATTTACATGGAAAATAATAAGACACGAAGAGAATTCGAGTTTTCAAGCAGCTGGCATTGAAGTTGAAAGGACTACATAAGACAAATATTGGAGTCCATCTTGGATTTTGTTCACTGTAGTGGTCTGATCACCACGGAGATGTTCAGAGAAGGAATTAGCTTTCTCCTGGATTGATGCCTGTGGAAGTGCTTCATGTGAATCTGCAGTAGCACTCTTAATGGCCGCTAGATAAGCTTCAGCTACATCAGATATGCCTGAAGAACACATTTAAAGATAATCACCCTCAGCTAACTGTGCTCATATGTAAAATGTAAACATAAAACTGATCTGAGAACAAAGGTATATGCTGCAAAAAAAAGGGAGTGTTAAGAAAGGAGTACAAGGAAACTAACCTGTAATAAAGCTGCTAGATACAGCTTCCACATATCCTGTCATAGATTGTGCCTTTACTCTGATTAATTTAGCCTTTTCAACGGAATCCTCAGGCCAGTCAATATTCATCATATTGCCATCAGCATCTTCATCTTGAACTTTGTTAGCACTAGATATGACAGATTTACCCAGCATCAGGAGCTGAGACACCGCGAAACAGCACATTTCTGAAAGCCTCTGCATACGTGCATGGTCATTTTAAATTCACCAAGGCAAACACAATACAGATCATATCCAAAAACAATTGTCAAAATGTTAAAAAGAATTCAAAAATATCTAAATACATGAACCCCCTCTGAGTGTAGCAACTCTAGCCTTCCGGTAGTTCTTTGAATTATATCATTAACAGCTAATCCTGCCAATATATTTTTGAACCTGAAATTATTGTGGAAATATTAACAACAGAGCACCATCAATTACAAATAATACCATGCTTATCAGGAATAAAAAAAAACTACAAATAACAGTTTACAACACTACAAAAGGTGTTAAGAGTACAGAACACGAATTATATCGCTATTGCTGTATACCCATATGGGTTCTTACTGGATCAAGAAACCCTACATACTTGCAAGCATGCAAGTAAAACAGTGTTAGGCAAAAACGCATTTTTGTGTGTTTTGAAGCATATGTAAGATTCAATTGAAAGGATGAAAATGGAATAGTTATCAGGAGGAGGCTACTGAGCATTCGGAAACAAACAAAATCAACTTAGTTAAAGGAAATCCAAAATTGATAATAAGAACTCGATGAGCTCCTGTATGAAGCCCAAATAGAAGATACCTATAAGTGCTGCAGACAATCAGAGAACCATATCATATAGCCAGTAATACCTTGGTGCAGAAATTTTCTGAGCTAAGCTAATGAAAAGAAACTGTATTTAGCAAATTACCCAGCAGCCATATCAGCAGCCTTGCTGACGCTTGAATCATGTAAATTTTTCATCTCATCATGACTGCCCTCAGTTCCAGTCTCTAATTTCTTTCCTTTGGCAAAATCTGGACCATTGCCATCCATTCCAGCATCCAAAATGAAAATTTGTTGGATCTGTTTAAGCTTTCCCTCAGACACAGATTTCTGCTCTGATGGTAATTTTGTTTTTCTTCGACTAAATAGAAGGGCATAATGGCTGGATAATGCTTCCAGTTCCTGACAGCATTATAGTTCAGCAATTTGAAAGATATAATCATTTCAATCATCAAATTTCAGCTTCAAGGATAAGAATTAACCTCCAACTGCTCTGGACCTCCATATATGTAGAAGCATCGATCAAAACTAACTTCCTCAAATAACTGATCCTCATCAGATGGCTGTTCAGTGCCCTTAGGTTTCTTTTCAACTTCTATACCAGTTTCAGTGATTAGTAAATCCAAAGTCTCCTTTCCTACATATTCAAGCACTTGCATTCCCTTTGTTGTAAAAGCTTTTCCAGTCTGCAAAAAAAAAAAGATGAGAAATAAGAGATCATCACAACAATATTAAGCAGGATAACAAGGCCTGCACAAACCTCAATTAATGATGGTGCAACTGAACCAGCAGGTAAACCTCCATGCTGAATAGAATCCGCAATGTTTGCAGCAGAATGCTCAAGCCTAGAGAATAAAAGAGAGAAAACTTACTAGTGGAAAAATGTTTCAAGAGTATTCATTTCTTGAGTTTCATGACAACAATTGTAAAATGGTACCACATCAGGAGAAAATAGAGGGAAATTATACAATGTTGACTCCAAATCAAGCAGCAGACTATTTACTCTGTTTTAATCTCAGTATAAAAAACCCCATTCTAGAAGTAAACATCTATCCAGATATCTAAATGCCAGGAAAATTCTACTCAAAATCTCATACAAAACTTAGATGGTCGATGTCTTGAACATGATCACGGCTTCTGCATGGGAAGGGGAAATATCCAATATACAAGCAAATATTCCATGATGATAGAACCCTGAAGCCATTAGTTTAGAAATTAAAAATATTCGCATTGAATGAATTTCGAAAATCTCAGCAAGCATCAAACCATTCTTTTTTTTTATTTTTTTCTCATTAGCTCCTGGGAATCAAATAATTATTTAAAACTCTCTCTAGCTTACAATTTGAACAATTAATCTTGTGCTCAGGTGCAATCAATAACAAAGGAAAGTTATACTTTGAAACACAATGAAACATACTTCTGAACAAGATTGTTACCCCCTTTCCATGCATTCCCAAGTGCCTGCCATGCACCAGAAGCCAAATTCTCCATAGAGTTGTCAAAAACCTTCAAACCCTACAAACATTGAAAGTAGGACATAATTTACCGAAACCCAAATATTGATTATGATCCATCATAATGATATGATACGACTGTCAGCGCACACTGGTGTGTTTGCAGAAATAAAGCACATATTTTCAAACGCAAATGAAAAAGCAAAACCTGCAGGATTACCATCATCCCAGATTTGTGCAGCAAGTACTAGCAAACATAATTTCAAAATATCAAAATGGGTAAAAAGACTTGCCTGGCCAAGGAAAGAATCATCACTTGCTTTCTCCAACTTATCCAAAGCAGACTTTTGTAGCCTGTCATTCTCATCTTCACTTTCCATTTCAGTTGGAGACACCTCTGCTTCTTCCTCCTTACAAGATTCCAAGTCTTCAGCAAGTTGAATATCTGAAATGCTCTTGGCTGCCTTCTCTGCAACCACAGAAGCCTGCATCCAGAAAAGACTGCTTAACAAAATTGAAAACAACCTGTTATGATCAACGCATAGGAAGCTACTGCATATAATTCTTATAAAAAAAATCAGTTAATACTATTAATCAGGATGTTTAATGTTTAAAGATGCCATATCACTATCCAGGAGTTCAGAAAAAAGGGTGGGCCAATCAAGGAATTTAATAAAGTTCATTTTTGAGATGTAAATGAAAACCTTCACAACATACATGAATTTCACACAAGATCAGGTCCTTGAAAAGTGAGCATCACTTTTCCCTTCCTACACTTCCAATGCTTCACATATCAAACACAAATTAAGGTTTAATTCAACAAAACCAAAATTTTCTACTAACTAAACCCATAGTGAATATTTGCACAGTATCAAAAACCTACTAAATTAAACAACAGAGTGACTTTCTTCAAAATGGTATTCAACAAAACCTCCCAAAACAATAAATTTCACTCCAATATCTGAATTGACTCAAACTCACAGATCCAAAAATAATAAAAGAACCAATCTTTAATTGGAAAACCAAAAACAATACAAGAAAATAAACAAAATCCTGTAAATTGATTATATACATACACAAATATTAAGAGAGAGAAAATGAAGCTACATTGCGAGAGATCTCCTCAGCGGCAACAGTGGCAGCCTTTTGAAGATCTTGGAGAACAGAGAAAGCAGAGAAACCCCAACCGCCCCATCCTCCTCCATTCTTTGGCGCTGTAGTTGATGATGGTTGTTGCTCCTCCTTCTGGGGTTCTTCTTCTTTTCCTTGTTCTTCCTTCTCAGGAGATTCGTTTTTTTCTTTATCTTCCATTTGTTGTGAAGGTGGGTTCTTCGTATCTTCCATTTCTTTTCTATCAAAAGGTAAAAAATGCTGACCAAATTAAAAGTTTGCATATAGGAAAAAAGAACCTTTAAAAAAAAGATAATATTTGATTCGGATTTTCTGGCATTTTTAACAGAGAAAAGAATGAATGAGATCTGAATAAGGAAACTGGAGCTTCAAGTCGTTGAGGAGGTAGCGGCTGTTTTCAGTCGAAAATGGACCACGAAACCGTTACTCAACGTGCGTTCAAAGGCAATCAACTTTCGAAACGATGCCGTAGCACTCAAAAACTAAAGGCCTGCGTTTTGTGTTGATTAGGGCCATTGGGCCAGACTTTTAATTTTCGCTTCTGTCTCTTCCAAACGGACCAAACCTATTCAACATTCTCAGATTAACCCATTGTCCGTTTTAATAAAGTTTTATTATTGTTTTTACTTTTTGAGCCCGAAAGTCAACCACAAATGTCAAAGCTTACAAGTTTTGATTCAGCAGCTGCTAGTTGATCGATCAATAATTTTTAAATTTTTTCATTGAATTGTATCAATTTATCACAAACATTTTAATAAGGTTTTACATATTATTAAATTTTTCAGAAAGAGAATATCACAGGATGAAACAAGTTTTCTTGTTCATTATTTCATTCTTATAATGTTGATTTATATAGCTCTTTATAACAGGGAAAACTAAGGGAACAGAAGAAACTAATCATATGTAATGGAGATTGATATACATGTAAGAACTGCTCTACCAATCAATTTCAATTTGAATGGAAATCGCAACTCCATTGAGAAGTTAAGCTGACAAAATGCCTTTGTCCGTGGCCCTTTTTTTTTTTTAATACCCAAAAGGGAGAGTATACAATATAACGATGTCAAGGTTATACCATTTAGTAGCCTGGGAATATTGGTGGAGGTGGCGATGAGTACTGGAATCCTAAGTTTGGTGGGAGGATAAATTCCTTGGTAGGTGATGGTGCAGAAGCAACAGTAGAAGGAGATGGAGTTGGAGCTGCTGGTAGTGGTGAGTAAACCGGTGGAAGTGGAGATTGTACGGGTGGTGGTAATGGAGTTGGAGCTGGTGGTGGGGATTGTACTGGTGGTGGTGGTGAATAAACTGGTGGAGGTGGGGACTGTACAGGTGGTGGTGGTGGTGAGTAAGCTGGTGGAGGTGGGGACTGTACAGGTGGTGGTGGTGGTGAGTAAGCTGGTGGAGGTGGAGAGTGGACGGGTGGCGGAGGGGAGTAGACTGGTGGTGGAGGGAGTAGACTGGTGGTGGTGGGGAGTAGACGGGTGGAGGTGGCGGGGGTGAGTGGACGGGTGGGGGTGGGGAGTAGACTGGTGGTGGTGGGGAATAGACTGGTGGAGGTGGAGATTGAACTGGTGGTGGAGGTGAGCGAACCCATCCAACAGGAGATTTACTATATGGGTCGGGTGAAGGCATTGGTGATGATTCTGGTGGTTGGGGAATTGGGTTCTTTGGGGCTGCTGTTGGTTCTGGCGAGTTGGGAGTACGGTTTTTGGGTGCCGGCGTTGGTTTTGGTGGCTCTGGTGCTGGGTTTTCGGGTGCTGGTGGCCTAGTAGGAGTCACTGGAGATACATCATGTGGATCAGGTGATGGTGGCAGTGGTTTACGGTGTGGGTATATTGGAGATTTTCGCTGCGGCTCCTCTGGCGTGGATGGTTCTGGTGTTGGCGTTGAAGGAGCTGTGACTGGTGGTTTTGGCTGTGGTTTAGAAGGTGAAGAGCCTCCAGCACACTTGTCCTGGCTACAATCCACGGGGCGACTTACCACGGGTTGGCATTCCTTAAATGACTTCTGCTTTGGCCTACCAGCCAAACAGTTTCTGGTGTCATCAAACACAATGTCCTTCCTTGAAGGTGTTATGCAAGCATTAGCCTCTCCGTTGAAGTAGTTGTAAGAGAATGTGAAATTGGACAAGCTTGGCAATTTGCAAACATTCTCGGGTACAATTCCTGTCAGCTTGTTGTGCGAAATATCCAAGAGATCAACCTTCTTCAAGCCCGAAAAACTTTGTGGCAAGATACCTGTAAATGAGTTCAAGCTAGCATCGAAGACAGTGACGTTGCCAAGCAACCCAACTTCTGCTGGGAAGCAACCACCAAGGTCATTGTTCATGAAAACAATCTCATTCAGGTTCGACATCTTGCCAATGTTGTGTGGAATGCATCCTTTGAATTTGTTGTTGGCAAATGTCACAACTGACACAGTGGATTTGCCAATATTTTCAGGAATGGTGGAGGTGAACCTGTTGTTGTTCAAGAACAATGCATCAATGTCCTTTTCGAAAATCCCAGGCGGTAATTTGCCTTCAAAATTATTGAATCTGATATCAAGGTACTTGACGCCTGGCCAAGACAGAGCAACTTCTGGGAAAGGACCAACAAAGCGGTTGTTGCTGACATCAAACTCATGCATTAGCGTAAGCTTAGACAAGCTCTTGGGTATAATTCCACAAAACCTGTTAGAATTTATGTGGAACAATGCAAGATCGGTCATCAGCCCCAACTCCGCTGGAAGGTATCCAGCAATGTCAGCGTGATTAAGATCAACGCCAGCCACAACACTCAACTTGGGGTCATCCAATGCTGGAGCACAGAAGACACCGTTGTAGGCACACACATTGGGTCCAACCCAGTTGCCAGTTGTGTTCAATGGATCGGAGTACATAGCCTTTTTCCAGGCTTGAAGGCCAATGTAAGCCCTCTTGAGCCTTTGATTTGCAAAAGTTCGAATTATTTTGATTTCATATTCAAAACCTTCAGGAAGTTCGCCATTTTCAGGGAGGGCTAGGAGTTGGCGATGAGCGATATAAGATGCTTCAGCGTCAGACAATGCAAGAGTAGATGATGATAATGAAGAAAGAAGACCAGAGAAGAAAAGAAAGCAGCCAAAGGCCTGCAATCTTTGAGGTTTAGCCATTGCTGACCAACTTGGTAGGCCCAAGGCTGCTTATAGGACGCAGAGGGTACTGAGAGAGGGGACGATTATATTGAGGGAGAAGAAGGTATGTGTTTAACAGCCATTGAGAGGTCATGGGAAGTTGGCCCCTGTTTTAGCATCGGAAAGTTTGTTAGGTTTCGTTTGGACACCATACAAATTTGGACATGCCTCTAATTTTAGAGACAAATTTGGGGGAGGGGGATTGCTTCCTTTGCGGAATGCAGGCCTGATCGAAACAAGAAAAGCAAAGCTAAAAACTAACAATTGACCAAGTCCTCTCGCAATTACCTCGTACGTGCCAGAATTCCATACCTGAACCTGCACATGAAAATTTTCTACATGTGGACAAGATTAAACTGTAATTCTATACTCCATCGAAAACCTCAAATCTTTGCTTCTCTATTTTGCTACGTATAGGCTTATGATGTGGCAAAATCCTGACAATTGGCAATAAACTTATTTCTGTGTTAGAATTTGATCTGACACAGAAACAAACCAAAAACTGCTAGGATTCAAGAATGTGAAGAATTTTCCTGCAAGGCTTCTGATTTAGATTTCTTATATTATAATTGTTGAGACTCGGAGTTAACTAGAACCTATTAGTTAAATGAATAAGCACTTGAGTTGATTTAGTTCCGGCTTCTGCTCCTATTTTTGTAGCTTGCTGTACTTGTCTTCTTTAATTTGTTAACCACAATGCAAGGAACCAAATTTTTTTAACCTGGTTAGTGGAGATTGGAATTTGACTCCAAGCTTTCGAAAATGTTGGACAATCAATTACATTGATACATTTGTCAATATATCTGAACTCATTTAGAAATATTAGCAATGAACAATATTGTTGTGGCAACACAAGCAAACTTTACAGAATAACAATCATTTTGCCACTTTGGTACAATTCTCCACAGCAGTCTCCTACATCACAAAGCTCTAAGCCTCTCTCGTTGCTTCTTTTATCTTTATTTATATTTGTTAAAATGATATTATTTTATATTTAACAAATATTTATTTTTTATAATTTTATATTTAAGTTAAATTTTTTCATTTAATGTTAATTAATTTTAGATTAAATATTTATCATGAAAACAGAATCATCTTATATATGATGAGAGTCTGATAAAATATTATTATCTCATATATAATAAATATATAATTTTTATAATTTTATATTTAAATTAAAATTTATATTCAAATTAAATATTTATATTTATTATTAATAAATTTTAAATTAAATTCTTAACATTCTTCGAATATGGAACAATAATATGAAAAGTACAAAAATCACCAAAATCAATCAAAATAAGTACTACTAATCACGTAAGTTTAAAATAAAAAAGTTATCTACAATTAATTTACGTACGAGCGAGCTCGTTCTCGGATTTGTCAATCGAGAGAGGGTAAGCTCGAATTTTGTTCGGCTAAACGGCTCGTCGAAGCGAATCTCACACGTTGGATATCCTTAGCCTCGACGAGGATAAGAGAAGAATAGGAATGTAGTAGGATTGACTTTATCATTGTAACCAAATTGACGCAAAATTACGGACTTTTTCTATCTTCCTGCTAATACTTGTTTCTCTGAGAAGATGATTAAATGGCGACGCGTTTAAATGGTGGACCCAACTGAATAAGGATCTAGGATATTTTTGGTTAACTGTTTGAATAATTTGATGACAGACGAATCGTGGCGGTTGATTTGGTGTGATTGGATTTGATCTTAAAATGAGAGTTGATTAGATGTTCGTGATTGGCAAGGTAGAATGATCCAAAGGCGGGGGTGCCCTCCGGTTTTGCGCTTTTTGGGCTTTTTGGCCTTTCAAGTTGCGTCCCTTGTTTAGCTGGGTGATTCTAAATACATTCTTTCTTTTTTTTTTAAACTTTTTAAAGTAAAATTATTTAATTATTTTTTAATTTGTCTTTTTTTTTTATTGTCTAAACTTATAAGGCTCAGGATTTGTTCTTTGGGTTACGCCTTGCTTGGTTCATACAGCATGATTTCCGGTTTATATTAGATGGTATAATCGTATAATTCTATGGAAAAGTGAAGCTCCTATAAATCCTTTAGTTTTCAAGCTGAAGCAGTATCATCATCATTGATAGTTGTTAATCGGCTTAGCTTCAAGTGGCAAAACAAAAATGATTTGATAATTATTAAAAAAAAAAAAGACTTGAAATTGTCTTGTGAAGTATTCCAGGTAGCAAACTATAGCTGAGTTAAGTTAATTTGATTTAAAAAAAGAAGGCAAGACAAATCTACATACAATTATAAATGTAGCCCATGGCCAAACATATTTTGCTGATGAAGAAACCAGTAGACAGGCATTAGAAAAGCTTGTTATTGGCCGGGAAAGAACCAGGAAAAAAATCAGGAATAGAACCAGTAATAGAATCACGCAGATCTGAGTACAGGCCATAGAGAGAATATTGGCGGAGGTTGTTCACTTCGTACCATGAATTCAGTGCTTCAAGGTTCTTGTCTGTCCCAGAAAATGCTAACTGTATGCCTAAGCTGCAGCCTGTAGGCCCGCATTTTGAGGTTGGTATTGCGCAGTCTTGTTTGTTGAGGCAAACAGCTGACTCCCCAGAACATGAATCACAACCAAAACTTTTCCAGTATAAATTTTGTAGGGTACCTTTTTGGAATTCAAGAACCTGTGGAACAACAAAATACGAGCTCCACATTGTGATCCCAGCAGAGCAAGTGAAGGGAGAAGAAATAAGCCAATGTTTAATGAGCATACCAAAGTGAAACTAGTTATGGTGTTTTTTTCATCAGCAACCATTACTGGGAATGACCTGGCTGCGTACTTCCTTCCTGCAAATGCCACCATGTATCCACCTGCTGCAAGCTGAAAAAATGTTCAAAATCAAATGCTTAGGTTTCAGAAAATTACCCTGATCAAACGACAGAGGCTTCTCCGGAATCTCCAGAATCATTTAATAAACCCCAAATTGGGTAATATTTGCTTTGCCAAGGGGATGGCTAAATCTTAAAGGCTATGGAGAAAGCACTAAAGATAAACAAAGATGGAATTTAGGATTCTGAAGATAAACCCCTAAGAAAAAAAAGCCTGAATTGAATGAGGGCATACGTAAAATTGTTCATAACATTATATGATTTTTGGAGGATTTCTACAAAATTAAAATTAGCTTATGAAATCCGATGGATGTTTGGCTCGAGTGGCAAAGACATCATGCTCCTCTCTAGATTGTTTGAATTCAAATTATAAAATAGTTTTTTATAAATTTGTTAGGTTTGATATAAATAAATTTACTTAAATTAATCCAAAAAAATTATGTACCCAGTAAAGTTTAAATTCCTCTTAACGCTCAAAAAATAATTAGCCTATGAAAGGTAAATAAATGAAAATGTAAGTAATCAGTAATGGCTCAAACGTCATTGTCCAACATAATATAAATGCAGAACCATGAAAGAAACACCAAATATTACAATAAATATCAAACTATGGGCAAAACATCAACATGAAAAACTGTATGCTAAACATTAAATAATCTCTGTCACTCGACTTCATAGAAACCATATTAATTAGATGAAAAATATTGTCTGAATTGATGACAATCCGTGTCTATGGCAAAATATATAAAAGAAATTCATTTCTAGCAAATTATCAGAGGGTAAAAAATGAAGAAATTCAGAGGATTCAAAACTTACAGGAATGCTGCCATTGATGGTAAGAAGAGAAATCTCATCGACCTTTGGCCTAAAAACAGCTAGTTGGGCCATTTTACTAGCCAAGGCAAGGCGACTATCACAGGGAGAAAGCTGAACATTATCAAAGAAGAAAAATTCCTTCTTTGAAAATGCAAGACCAAAGGTAAATCCATCTGATTTCTGTACCTTGGTATCCTCACAAGGACTAAAAACACTATTCGTATCATCTGCAATTGCACCAATCATCATCCTCATCGTCATCATCACGACCACCATTTCTGTCACCATGATCGTTCTGATCCTCATGGTGGGCACACTTTCCTTCTCCAATTCTTCTCAGCTCTGCAAAGATTGTTAAAATCTTATGTTTTTGGTTTTGATACTCAATTAATCAAAATAGAAGAATTCATTGCTTTGTTTGGTGATGATTACAAAGAAAAATTACAAAAGCTCAATGCTAATACAAAATTCCAAAGGAATCATAACAATAATAAAATAAAGAAAAAGCAAAGAGAGAGAAGATAATATCAGACCAAATCTATATAAATTATAAACCAAACGTAGCATGAGAAAATACGAAGGCAAACAAAATTAAGGATCCAGAAATTATACAATTCAAGTTCCAGGTAATGAAGGAACCAACATTAAAATTTACAAAGAACCAAAGACCAAAAGCATACCAGAATGTCTGTATAAAACTGAATATTGTTCAAAGGAACTAAAGATGGTCTTAAAACTAATTGTAATAATTTCTTCTTTTTTTTTTAATTTTTGTGAATTAGAAGGAAAAAGAGAGATGGGTGAAGGAAAAAGTTTTAATAGTAAAATGTGAAGCAAATGGGATGAGAAAATTCGGGGGATTTTGTTGATGTTCATGGGGAGAAGCCTAGGATGCGTCAAACGGTTATATCGGCAGGCCAAGTGGATCTTTGTCCCTGAAACGGTTACATGGAAGTTGGGATTGAAAATTAAATTTTAATTAATTAAACGTATATATATTTTGGAAAATTATCTATTTAGTAAAAAAAAAAAAAAAAAACTCCTTTGGTTTAAGTTTTTAACCAGGTGAGACACATGCTTGAGTGCACGAAATCAGTTTATCCTGAAAAGAAAGAAATGGACAAGAAAATCAGTTGGTCCATGAATTATTTGAAAAGTGCTTCCTCACTTTTCTTATTCATTTTTGTCATTACCTTAAAATTTTCCGTCACGGCAAATTTAAATCCAACACAATCATATAATAAGAAAATGATACGAAAAAATATATAAAAGTAACAAAATTTAAAATTTTAATAAAAGTTTTATATTTATTTTGTTAATACAAATTATAACAAGATAATTTTTATATTTTATACTTATTTAATAACAAAAAAAAAAAAACATGAATACATGAATTGGTAAATACCATCAACTGAAGCAATCAAATCCTTTTTTTTTTTCTTTGTATTTATTCCTTGATAAAACCGAAACAATTAAAGTTTCTTTCATAGCATCCATGTAGTTGGGTGGCTTAATTGTTAGAACGCTGTTAATAAATTTTTTAAAGAGATTTAAGTATTTGTTAATAAATGCAAAGGTTGCATGCTTTCTTATTAAATATTATATTATTTCTTTATAATAATATACGACACGTTGCCAGTCGCTTTCAATCCCATTTTAACATATCAACAAACCTGTCGTTCTTCCATTTTTAGTGAACTTTTTGCATGAACCTCAAAAGAGTTACTGGGGAAGAACTATATATGGCATGCTGTTCTGAAATGGTCAGAGCACTCAAAAGATTAATTACTTCTATATCACCATATTATTCATTAAATTTTTACAGGCTAACTCGATGCGCATATAATTTCTGATACAACTTTTCGTTGGTCTGATGCTTGGGAAAACTTTCTTACATGAGGAAATAACTGAAACTGAAATGGAGAAGGACATAGCTAGAAATCAGAGAGAAAGGAATCTGTTTTAGCAATGTTTGAACACTCACCTCAGACCTCAATCCATTGGGACCCGTTCCCATTGATCTGATGTTAAGGGATATCAAGTTATCAACAGCTGTCACTTGACCCAAAAAAGATATCTAAACACTGTCACAAGTTAAGTGAACTGCAAAATTAGCAACCATTTTTGTGCAAACTCTCTTCTTTTAATTTTCTTCATCAACTTTCTCTCTGCAACTCTCTTGGTTATAGTACCCTTATCGTCCAGATGCAAAGCAGCTTGCAGTCAAAGAAGAAAAAGATGAAGAAGAGTTCAAGGGATATGGAAAGCAATCTTCCTGAACATGACAACCGACCTTGCTTCTACAAGATCATCCAAGTTAATCACAAAGCAAGCAATAGCTTGGTGATTCTTTCTGCCCTTTTTCTTTTCCTGATCATGCATGTTTTTATTAATATGAGCTGCTCTGCTATTTTATGATCAAATATGGTTTTATGATTTGCAGAACATTGAAGATATATAGATGTTCCTTCTTCATTAATAGCATGACATCTTAGTCTTAGGTTCAGTTCTACAAAGCTATGGTTTCCAGTCCATTGCTTGTTTTGATCTTCTCTCACTCAAATTTATTGCAGATAATCCCACCACATTTTGTTACTACTCATCTACCAAAAAGAATGCCCAGTGAAGCAGTTTTGAAGGGTCCTTCAGGCGATTGTTGGAACATTACTGTATGCCAGCAGAAGGGAAACACGATTATGCAACATGGTTGGCAGCAGTTTTACCAAGATCACTCCTTGGGAGACAATGAGTTCTTGCTTTTCAGGCACAATGGCAACATGTGTTTTGATGTACAAATTTTTTATAAAAGTGGATGCGAGAGGAAAATTGTTTCAATCACTCGGACACATCGAGACTCGATTGTAGAAATTAAGGAAGAAGAAATTGACTTTAGTAAGATCGGGGAGACGGAACCACAAGTTCAAACCAGTGGGAAAGGTAAGAGAAAATCAACAGCTGAAAAAAATTCACCCTCCTCTTCTAGGAAGCAGAGTCGACCTCCAGCAGCTAGAAAAAGTAAAGGAAATCTTAGTAAAGCGGCAGAAGATTTCACCTCCAAGTTCCCTCATTTCAAGCACTGCTTGACGAGGGCCAATGTGGAGAAACCTTTCCTACTGGTATAATGCTTCAACTCAAAAATTGATCCCTTTTGCAGTAAAGTTTAATTAAACGTGTCTTGCATCCGGAGATTAACTCAATTGATTTATGTAATCATAATTTAAAATTCAAATTTCAGCATTTACAATTTTTCTCTTATTTTCAGGCTGTGAAGTTATTTGTGTTAAAAAAAAGTTTAAGCTTAGAGTTTGTCATTTCTGCAGGCTATCCCCTGTTCCTTTGTCAAGGCAAATCTTCCTCAAGCAAGAAGAGAATTCACCTTCAGCACTTCAAAACAGAAATCTTGGAAGGTGACTTACATATACAGTGAGATTAACAAGGTTTTCTCCAAAGGTTGGCGTGGATTTGCCATTGATAACAAGCTGAAGATGGGTGACAGTTGTGTTTTCGAACTTGTGGCACCTCAAAAAATGAGAGTCCATATTTTTCCACACTGAGAGAACAGTACGCAAGTCAAAACTAGTTGTACAAGTTTGATCAATCTCTACTGTGACTGAATTCTTTTAAGTTTATCTCTTTGATTCCCATGATTTTTAACTAATATGATTGGAATTTTGAACTGCTACAAAGCGTGGAATGTATGTTCAGGACATTGACCCAAATGATTAAAAAGAAAAGAAAAAAGAAATGAAATTTTGGGTTGATTTGAAAGAGCGGAAGTAAACAAAGATGAACGAAATATTTGATGGATGAGACTTGGAGCCCACTATTTTTAGCAGTAAATAAAAAAAGGTGGCTTCTACCATTTCTTCATTTTGCGGTGCATGTGATTCTGGGCATGGTCCCATGCACCCTGTCTTGACACGTGTCCATAAACCTTGTCCTTGACGAATGGAATAAATAAAAGCATCCTCGTTAAGAGCATTGTTGAGATCACACTAGATCGACTCTCGTCGCTTTGCCTTTTGACTCAGTGTTCCCAACTCAACTCAGTCACCAAAATGAGTTCAACCAACCTCTCCGTTGTTGCTTTTTATTAATCTCTTTAAATCTATGATGAATCTTTCTTTTGCCAAATTTTTTTTTTTTTTTGTTTTTAAAAGCTTAATCTTTAACAACACTTTGTACAACTAGTATAACTTAAGCCTACCTTTTTCATCCTTAAGAGAAAAATGTGCTAAAAGAGTAATAAATTATTCAGTCATTGTCAAAACTTGGGATATCATTGAAGTGGCGTGGTATTATTATTAGCATTATTGATATTTTTTTATATTTGATGATGTGAGTTAGATTTAATAATTTTAAATATGATTTGATAATAGATTATAAAAATAATATGAAAATAATATAAAAATTAAAGAATATATGATAATAATTTTTTTTATTTTATTTTCACGAGTGATCTCATAATTAGAATTGAATTATACTTTAAAATGTTATAAAAGTGTGCTTGACTTTACATGTTGGTGAGTTGGAGGTTCAGAAAAAAAAATGTATTACTACTAAAAAACAAGGGGGAATCTACCAAAAAAAAAAAATACAAATGGGGAAATTAGTGGGGCATACGGAGGGTGCCTGAGTTTTAAGCAGGTAGGAGATTAGAACTCAGTAAATGAGTGAGTGAGTCGACAATGCGATCAAAACTCGGTTCAACTTTTAGGTCAAGTTGAGTTTTTTTTTTTTTTTTTTTTTTTTTTAAGGTTTAAACTTTAAGCCACTATTTGACTGGAAGAAAAAAACCAGTGGGGAGGTAGAAGAGGAAGGGGAGCCCAGATCTGAAAGCTCTTTCTCTCTGTGTTGAGGCCTTTTTTTCTTTTTTTTTCTCAATCTATCTTTCTATCACTAAGCACTCAACAATGTCTTATCATTGTAATCAGTGAGAGAGAGATATAAGTACATAAAGAGTAGAATTAGATAAATACATACATATACACACATTGAAAACTCCGAAAAAAAAATCAACTCTGGCTCAAACTCAACATCATTATTTGATCTGACTGTTTCTCCAAAATGCCACGCCCCTTTTTCAACAAGCTTATTCTCTCCACTACCCTTCAGGACAAGAAACTGGTATATACTAAAAACCCAAAGTCTCTCTCTTTCTCTTTCTTCGTCTTTTTCTTTTGTTATGCTTTTATCTGGTTTCTTATGTTTTTGTTGGCCTGAGAACAAAAGAAGTTCTTTTTTTTTGGTAATTGAAATTTCAGGAAGGAGTTTCTTTTTTTTTTTTTTGTGTAACAAAGTTTTAGTCTTGGAAAATTAGAGGATGATGGAAATTGGTTATGGGTTTTGTTTGTTATGTGTTTTTTCGCCTTTTGGGTTCGTGGGTTTCTTTTCTTTTTCCCTTTCTTTTGTAGTTTGAACTTTGAAGTGTGTTTTTGAGACTTGGAGATGGAACTTGAATGTTTAGACCTGCTAGAGTGTGTTTGGTTGATGGAATTAGAGGAAGACTAGGGAGAACTGAAAAGTTAGTTTAACTTTTGGTAGCTCCTGCAATTTGTTTTTGTTCAAGTAATCCTAGAAGTTTGTTTGGCTACTGGATGAACTGGGTAGAGTAGAAGGAAATGGAAGAAACACAAGATCTCAATTTTCATGTAAAGTCTTTTTATGAGGCAGGTGGTATATTGAAGCTGTGGAGATACTTTTTGAAATCAATTAAAGAAGCATGATATATTTTGCTTCATTTTAATAATTCTATTGAGATACCTGAGTGTGTTAGTATTATACTAGATGAAAGAAGACTATTTTTCGAGGTTCAATTTTGCAGGAAATACTCTGTCTTGAAACAATTGAAACCAAATGGAGTGAAATGCTTGTTGCTGAATGGTTATTACTCTTTTTGCTCAAAATTTTCACTCTTTTAAAGTGGTGTGATGATTCATTTAATGGATTTCTTTAAAAATAAAAAATAAAAGTCGAACCGTGTAATTTTAATAAATGTTTTATGTAACATTTTAGTTTACCTCCCATGATCTCTCTGCATGTGAGTGAAAGCTTATTAATTTTGACACTTCCACTGATCTACCGTGTTTTAAAGTTGGTATGCATTTGCTTTGATCTTCCTGTATGCATTGTTTAGTGTAAAAGGGGGGGTGGGGAAGACACAGCAGGTATATATGACAGTAAAATAAAGTTCTATGTTTCCCAGATTATGTTGGATTTAATAGAATACCTGGGGTTGATTCCCTCTTGTTTGTTCTTTTGGGGTAAAAAGATGCATGTTTCTAATACAATTGAAATCTACGAGAAGCAGAAAACTAGAAATGCAACAGGGTCTATATAGAATATTACACATTCTAGAAAGGATCCCATAGGACATGGCCGAATTATTTACATAACTTTCAGATAAAGAAATGAAATTGTAAAGGGTAATCTGTATTAATCTATATTTCACTCTTCATTCTTGGTGTATATTACTTAGATTGGGAATCTGTTGACTGTCATCCATACTTTGCCATCTGTTTGTTTGACATTTCTCTTTGGGTTATTCTGCTAGTGAGTTGCATCAAATGGGCATCAAATGATGTGGCTAAGACGAAATGGTGCTTTATGAACTAGACAAGAAAGTTCATCTACAGTATATTTACTGAATTTAGATTTTAATCTTTTACGCTGTTTTTACTGTTTGGTCATTGGTAAAAGTATACATGGATTTGGTCTTTAATTATGATTATACTTATCATGTTTACGTGTGAAGATGTATATTCTTTTCTTTGAAATGATTCAAACTTCTAATTTTGGATGCTAGTATTATTTTAATTAAGAGGATGGAATAGTAGTTTTCTTCATCTGACATGAGGTTTTATGTCACAATGATATGAAAATTCATCTGCTAATCGTTCCATAAAACCATTTGAATCCCAATTTTATTATTTATCAGATAAATAAGCCTAAATTTGATTTGCGGTGTCTGCAGAGGATCCCTGATAACTTTGTTGAGAAATTCAGGGATGAACTTTCTGTTGCTGCTGCCCTCACTGTTCCTGATGGTCATGTTTGGCGTGTAGGAATAAAGAAAGCTGACAACAAGGTTTGGTTTCAGGAGGGTTGGCAGGAATTTGTAGAGCGTTACTATATCCGTGTTGGCTACTTTTTGGTTTTCAGATATGAAGGAAATTCTGCTTTCAGTGTTAGTATATTTAATTTGTACAACTCTGAAATAAACTATCAGACTAATGCTTTCGTTGGTACTCAATACAATCATGGAAAACAATATCCATTTGAAGAACTTGAAGATGATGAATGCATCTCTCCAGCACTGCAGAATTTGTTTGGTGGGTCTAAACTTAACAACTGCGTAAACTGGAGTGGTGAAGTCAACCTTCACACATCAAAGGGTGTGAACAATCAACCTATTCGAGGTATGGCTCTTTATTTAATGCATTTGAACTTGAAAAAATTCTGCTAATGAAGTGAAATTGCATTCTTCAGGAGCAGAGCTACCAAGACCGAAAAAGCCTGGGAGGAAAAAGCGGAAGTTTGATCCCAGTAAGTCTTCTTAACTAAGTTTTTTTTTTTTTTTGTTTTCTTGGCAGTGTGTAAGGAATTGGAATTTCTCATCAGTTGTCAAATGAAATGTAGATGAACAGGATTCATCTGCTGGACATGAAGATGATGTAGAAACACGCTTTAGATTTTATAAAAGTGCCTCTGCCAGAAAGAGAACTGTGACAGACGAAGAAAGAGAGAGGGCAATTAATGCAGCCAAAGCATTTGAGCCGACTAACCCGTTCTGCAGGGTTGTCTTGCGACCATCATATCTATACAGGGGATGTATTATGGTGAGCATTGAATATGATGTGCTGTACATGTCTTTTTGGTTTCACCTTATGGCACTCAGTTTACATTTTGATTTTTTCTCTTGCAGTACTTACCATCGTGCTTTGCTGAGAATCATCTAAGTGGGGTTTCAGGATTCATTAAACTTCAGCTTCCTGATGGGAAACAGTGGCCTGTGCGATGTCTTTATAGAGCAGGCAGGGCTAAGTTCAGTCAGGGATGGTACGAATTTACATTGGAGAATAATTTGGGGGAAGGAGATGTCTGCGTCTTTGAGCTGCTCAGATCAAGGGAAATTGTGCTCAAAGTTACACTATTTCGTGTAATGGAAAGCGCGAGACTAATGCATCAGTCTCAATGAAATGCCAGCTGAGTTAAATCAGCTAGAGTATAGTAGCTGGAAATTTCAGGAATGTCAAAACTCTGTTAACTCACTCTTACATTTCAGGTGGTGTGTAACTGATCTGGGTCCCTAAGAAATTTAGCTGCTGTGCCATTTTGATGTCCATAAGCTTTAATGGAACTGTTAGCTGCTTAGGAGAGTGGATATCAAAATTTTGTGGCATGACTAGGTCTGTAAATAGATTCTCCAATGAAGTTGATGTTGAACTGGATTGGAAAAATGTGTCTTAGACTTGTCTGTTTGATTGGTTTCAATTTTTCATTCACTTCTTGGCTTGAATTCCTCTTGCTGCTTTCATCCTGCAGTCTTATAAATTACTTCGACTTTTTCCTTCTTTGTATTTTTTTTTCCTCCAGGTTTTGTCACTGATTTGCCGTACTGTAGTATCCAGGTTGCAAAGTGAAATCCAAAGTTATATTATTACACGAGCAAGAGTTGATTGCGGAAAAATCAATCAAAATAGCAATAAATGATGTTGTGGGGTTTAAGTTCTCATCATTTTCAATTTTTGTAGAACAATTTTCAACTCATTTGACCCTTCTAGTCTTAATCACAACTGATCTGAAGAACATGTTGAAAAAACAAGAGTTAGCCCCTGCTCGCTCTTCTAATTTCTATAGGAATCACAACAGAAGAGAAATTACAGGTTTTGAAGGTCCAAGTTGAATTGTTAGACAAAATGTCATGAAAATCGTACGGAACTGCATGTCATGAGACACTATCTTCTGATGGTTTTTTCACCTTTAATTCTTTGTAAAACTGAAAACTCAGAAGGAAGGAAAAATGTAAAAAAACAATCATCAAATCTCTATTTAGTTGATAGCAAGATTTTGCAGAAATGACTTCAAATTCAGTGGTTCATTTTCTTGGCATACTTATAGTCTTATGCCATGTTTCAACTCTAGTTGTTTCATAGACTCATGGGAAGATTAAAATCTAAAATGTGCAGAGCATCCAGTTGGATTTTGTATGTGTTTATGCCTAGACTTTCTCCTCTTTCCTTGTTAATGTCTTCTTTCTTTCTCTTTCTTTTCCCCTTTCGGGGCTATAGTCTATGCATTTACAGGAGGATAAGTTTGGCAGATGGTACCAGAAAAAGGAAAAATTTTATTGCATAGCATAGAAAGTATCAAAGAAGCGTAAAAATTCTTGATCAATGTCTGATGGTCAAACAACTTCCAGCCACTCCAAAGTAAAAAATGACACAGCCAGTGGGTCCATCTTCTACAAGTTTGTGTGGGGTTGGGTGACTTGGGTCCTGTGGGATAAATGTTCTTTTTTTGTCCCTTTTGTGCCTTTTTAGTTGGCATAATTTGGGTACAGACTACAAACACGCTTTTGCTTGCTTTATTGTCTTATTTATATGGTATTGATCTCTTCAATTATTGGACTCCTAGTAATCCTTTTAAATTTCTTTTGGCCTTGAATATCTTGTGTATTTTCATTTCCTTTTGTCCATAATGGGTGTATCTTTCCTCTTTATTTTATATTTTGGCCTTGGACCCCTACATGGCATGGGATTTTTCCTTTATTTTTTTTTTCTGCAGAAATCTGTTCTTTGGGTTCTGTCCATCAATAGTTTCTTATTTAAGTAATGCAAGTGGCTTGCAAGTTGTGATTATTGTAATTCCCCATTGATTCAATTGTCATCAATGACTGTTACAAGCATTATAAGGCTCAAACTATCTTTCCCAAATATGGGCACCTCCTCATAGACTAGGACAAGTCTTGGCACTTTTTTTTTTTCAGCTGCAATATTCCAACAATAAAAACATTTTGTGTGGTTTCTTCAGCAATAAAACTGAATGATGAACCAATAATATGATCTCTCCTCGATTCTGCATCATGGCAAACTTCCTCTTCTTTTCTAATGTAATCTATGTTGAAACAGACTCTGACTTGGTTTTTGTATTCACAGAGGATCCCATAAAAGTTTATGAAGAGATTTGGTGATGAACGTTGTTCCATTGCTACACTTATTGTTCCCAGTGGTCGTCTCTGGCTTGTAGAATTGAGGAAAGATAACAAAAGGATGTGGCTTGACAGTGGTTGGAATGTATTTGTCGACTACTATTCCATCTGCATTGGCTATTTCTTGGTCCTCAGACATGAAGGGAATTTCACATTTCAATGTTCATGTATATAATCTGAAAGCTTTGGAGATGAACTATCACTCTAATAGTCTAAATAGTTCACAAGAACCTGGTCATGATAAGCATTTCAAAGGTCCTCAAGCCTTTAGCCTAGGGGTTAAAGGCACTTGATGGGACATCAAAGGTCTTCGAACCAAACCTCTCCCTTTCCCTTGCTTGTATTGGGCTTTAGATAAGCATTTCAAAGACAGAAGAATCTGGTAAATTCCCTCACCTCTTGTATTTTTAACGAGGGTCTTTAGTTAACAAAATCCAGAATTTTAATTGAGTTAGTTCATTTAATCATCTTAAGAGGTGACATTCAGTACATTTAAAGTTCAAATTTTAACCAATCCATTATCATAATATCCTTACTTGGTCTGAGTTCAGGGGCTAAATATAAAACATATAGCTACAATATTTGGGTGTTTTAGCTCTTTTAGAAACCCATTTCATAAATAAGATTGAAAGTGAATAGAGTTTGGGAAATAAAATAAAATTTTCCGTATGGGTTTTCATCATTGACTTGGGTCAAACGTTTTTGGTTTTGTTTTTTGTTGTTAAACCAAACACTTGATACCATAACTTGTATAAGCTTTACATAATTCTGTTGAAATGATCTGGTCTGTGACAATAGCTGTAATTCTTAATTTGGTATCTGCAGAAAGTTCCAAAGAAATTTACTGGCAACGAATTTTCTAATGTTGCTATTTTCATTGTTACCAATGGAAGAAATTGGAAATAGGATTAACAAAGGCTAATGGTGTGATTTGGCTTGATGAAGATTGGCATGAATTTTGTTGGGTATTACTCAATCCGCCATGGGCATTTGCTGGTCTTTAGGTGCCAAAACTCTGAATTTTATTGAAATCAAGATTAAATTTTGTTGATTCATTTAATAGGTCTAAAATTCAAATTTAATATTTATAAATTTTATCAAAATTAAGATTAAATCATTATCTTTAAATTGTGAACATTAATATATCTGAAATTCAAATCTTATATCTGTAATTTTTTTTTTCAAACTGTGATCTTTTTTATAAAAAAAATTATCTTATTAATTAATATATATATATATATATATATATATATATATAACAATGGATACCTTTAATCAATTTCTTAACAAGCAAAAGCAACCCTAATGAACTTGATCCAATGATTTAAAAATGAATATTCTAATTCCAAAGTGTATGTTTGCTAGTTTGATTGCTAAACTTCTTTAATAAATTATATTACGAATTTGGGATCAATTACTGGTGATTGATTTTATGATCATGTCCGTAGGTGTAAAGTGAGAGTTCACTGTGAAAACAGCTAAAGGTTGGTATGTAGATGACTCTCTATGAATCAAGACGGCATTGAATAGTAATACGAGATAAGCATTAGCCGACATTATCCACTCAAGCAGTTATACAATTCAGTCAATTTCTTAACGAACTTAACTTCCAATAGCTGATATCATCAAAATAAAAACAATTTTAAAAAACTCTTATAAATAATCATGGCAACATATCTGAATCGAGTCTCAGCATAAAATTTTTTTTTTTGTCTTTAAGTCACGATTTCTCATACATAAAATAAATAAATAAATTCTAAAAGCTGATCACGAACTGTTTGCTGACTGTTCATTTAACTAAGGTTTTCTTTTTGTGGTAATCAGAATGAATTACATTCCTATATATGAAATTGAAGTTGTAAGGTTTCTGACATTATCTCTAAACAATGGAGTTAAAAACTTAGTGGATTTAACAAATGTTCTGAAGCATTCCTTTAAGAAAAGAACTTGGGTAAGGATTTAATTAAGGTTTGGTTGTGTCCCCAATTGCCAATTGAAATTCAGCAAAGACTGCGAAATATAGCATTTATAGAATTGCCAAATTTGAGGAAGAATTAAACTACTTATGACTTTCAAGGATGGAGCCAAATTAGAAAACAATTTTAATTTTAATTTTAAAATTTTTTACCAACAATAACAAAATATGTTGATAAAATATTAAAATTTTAATTTTAATTGTTAAGATTCTAACTCCCATCTCAATTTAAAAAAAAAAAAAGAAAATAAAAGTTTAATTTGACTTTTACTAGTTCATAATCAGTATATTTCAGACAAAACTATGCTTGTTTTTATTAACTGCCGAAGCAGGAAGCATACAGTGCTCGTTCATTCTTATTCTAAACTCAGACAAAAAGATCATAGGTAGAAATCAAAACTGCAAGTCGCTGCATTCCTGGAGAACACATTCAAATCAAGCTTTTGTATATCCGAAAACAACCCCAAAAATCTTGACTGCCTTCTTTGCTTTGATCTTGAACTGTGCTCCTGAAGCTTCATCTTCCTCCTTGTAGAACTTCACTTTATCCCCAACCTTAAGATTCTTGGACTGAACAAATTTGCACCAATCTTTGTTAAAGACTGGTTTCAAGTAATTCTTCTTGCGAGTGGAGAGACGAAACTGCCAAAGACTACCGCTGTCATCCTTTACTGGCAAATCCAGGGAATGGCCAATTTTAAAACGTGGAAAAGATGCAAAGCTTTTCATTGGAATCGATAATCTTTTACGGATATCTGTCCGTGACAGTAATTTGGAGAAGAGCTTCATTCTTGGTAGTGGGCACTGAATGTCAAGTTCCTGGGTTCTGACTAAGCAGTGAAAATTTATACAAGTGAATGACTAAAATTTAATGAGGTTTGTGTGATTTGTGTCCCATTTTTTTAAAACTATAAATCTAATAAAGGCCCAATTGGAGTGACGATTACATGACCTGTGGCAGAGTTTCCAGGCTATATATTGTCTCTGTGCCCCGCATGGTTTGACAATAGAGGCCAATGCGGGTCCCTCTGGCCCCATCAAAGCCTCAAACTCCTTGCTTTGCAAGTTTTTGAATCGGACCTTTCAGGTACCGGAGATCAGAATTCATCAACCAGTCATTTCCCATTGATGTTGGCCATAAACGTTAAAAATTTGGTGTCATCATTTCTAGAATCCCGTCCTTAATATTCTTATCCTGATAATTAGTTTTCTAGATTGTTGCTAGGAACAAGAAAGCTGAGCAGGACAGGCCAACTGCTTTTTGTCTTTAGGAATTGAGCTGTGGACTTGAGTTGTTCTTTTCAATCAACATTTGGAAGATACTGCCTTATCTAATAGGCTATAAAAATAGTCAGTTCGGCTTTATCTTATTTGGCAAATGAGGGTTACGATCTAAGGAAAACTGTTCATCTAAAAAAAAAGTTTCAAATTTGATCAATCCGTGGAAATTAATTATTTGTAGATCAGAAACAAATGATTCTAAAATTAACCAATCTGCACAAAATTTCTTATTTGGCTGAACAAGTTTGAAGGTTCCAAAATAAACCTTTAATTATTCAAGACTGAAGGGTCAGTTTCGGTCTCATCCACCGAGTTCAACAAATGTGCCCGGCAGCAATTTATCAACAAGTGGTTC